GTGGAGGTGTGCGGGTATGAGTGTGACCTACACTGAGAGAATGGCCTCCCACGGCAACCCAGGACCCATACGCCCGCAGTCTCTGCCGGATCCCCAACTGCAACAAGCGTCACAACCGCTGGCGACCCCCCACCCCAAAGCCGCACGGCCCCAGAGCGCAGCCTGGCAGCCCCTCGTTCCCGACCGCCGCGTGGAGCGCCGTGGTTGGGTCCGCGCCTGCTCTATGGTCTCCTTGGTCATCCGCGGCAGCTTGACCAGCACATCGCCGCCCTCGCTGGAGGGCGCCAGGCTCAGGGGGGAGTTCTGGATCGCCCTGACCACCGACGACACCAGCTGCGCGCACATTCAGTCCCAGCGGGACGGGCCGGGCGCGAATTCGACGGGGCACAGTCAGGTGAGGGCGTCCGCGTCGGCCCCGCCACGCCACCACATCAGCAGCGAGCCGAGCCGAGCAGCAGCGCCCGACCATCCGGCACCGCGGGACAGGGCGAGGCTGCAGATGCTGGGCAGCAGGCGTCCCAGGCCCCCTGCATCGCCTTGACCCTTGCCAACAGCCGTGGGCCGTGCCACTCCCGTATGACTCACCTCTGAGTCAAACACCGACACCGCGAGCATCTGGGGGCTGCGCACTGTCACGGTGCCGCAAGCCTTGAGGGGAAGCTTCTCCCCATAGGCCTCCACTGGGATGCTCTCCAGCAGCCCTGGGTTGGCCCTGCCAGTGCGGACGCCGGCCAGCTGGTGCTGCAGGTGGTCCACTGACGCCGCCATCGGCCTGGGGGGAAGGGGGCGAGGGCAGGGGTTGGGGAAAGGGACAGGGCCGACGGCTGCCGGCGGCTGCGGCAGCTGGGGCGGGGACGCAGGCAACGCCGCAAGACCCGGCCTGGTGTGGGACATTGATTATTCGGATGAATTGCAGACAGATGAACACGGACTGTGATCGCCTGGGCAGGGTATCCAACTGCCCCATCCACCGCTCGATTTCTTCCAAGTTGAAGTCGGGCTGCTCTGCGCCATCCCCTGCTGCTGCCGTGGCGGCTGACGCTGAGTCGCCGCCGCCCTGCTTCTTGCCGCCGCCGCCGCCTGGCATGGCAATGAGACGTCACAGGGCCCATTGGGCAGGTGGGCGGGTTCACAGGTGGCTGTTGATAGACGAGGCACGTTCCGTTGCGCCCACATTCTAGGTTGCGGGAACAATGCGCGCAACTCAGAATGCATGCTGTTGTCAGCATTGGTCCTGCAATAGCAGAGTGACCAGTAGCAGCGTGCGCGCCCCATGCCACACCTTTGCTCTTTGCTGCCTTTGCGTAGCCGCAAGCAAACCCATTCCAGGGTTGCAGCGCATCAACGCACTGCGGCGACGCAGGTAGCGACCAGGTCACTAGCAGCCCTCCAGCCGCTATGCCTTCCTGCTGGGGCGTCCAAGCTCCTCTCCCCGCTCTGCATAGTACACACAATTGCACATAGCTCAACTGTGGTCACTCATTGAGGCGGGAGGTCCATGATCGAAATGGAGTTGCAACCGCGAGCGATTAGTCCACCAATGGTGCCGTCGCACCTTGCTAGCAACCCTGTCAAGGCCCTGATCCGCTGCAGTCCACCCCAGCTCGCCATCAACGCAGTTGATCACGGATGATCTGCGCAGAGTGACGATCAGGGGGTTCGTTGGACCACTGAGATAAGCACTGTTACTGTAGAAATTGTGTGTTCAGACGTCACCGTGGTATTCATGGTATCGGCAGAGGGACGCCGATACGCGCTGCTACATGAACATTACAACCGTGGCGATACGTGAGAACGTTAAATCAAGAGCATTACATGTATTTGAATCCATTCCGTGCAAACTTCGTTTGCATCAGCGGGGTCAACCTCGAACATTGACTGTTCTTTGCTCATCGAGGAATGGATGGCGTAACAAAATGGCAAATGCTTCGCAAGCAGTGGATTGCTGCTGAGCAGCAGCATGGTGGATGGGGACGTGGCAAGGCGCTTCCGATTGATCAAGGTAGCGCTGCAGCGCAACCGGCTGCTGCTGCGCCGCCGCAGAACGAGCCTGATGTGTCGGACATGCTCAGCCAGTGTTGGGCAGCCGGCGCTACCGCTCATTTGAAAGAATGCGCCGCAGTTGAAGCGTTCTGGGCAGCTGCCCTCCCGCCAGGCAAAGCTGAGGTGGGGGGCCCTCGGGGGCCACCAGACACTTGGGTTGGCCACAGCCTGTGGGAAGGAGCCAGCTGTGCGACCAGCAGCCTGGGGCATGTTCACGGCACAGACAATGCCCAGTCCGGTGGCGGGGCAGGCTGGGACACCTTATCATTTAAAGCAGCTCAGGACCAGCGCCGCGGCCGTGCAGCGCAGCAGCTGCTGCGCTGCAGCAGGGCGCCAGCCATGCCAGACGCAAGCGATTTCAGTGCAGCCAGCACACACAGCCCCTGCAGCAGCAGCGGCGGCCCTTGCTGGCGGTCAAAAGTCCTGGAGCGGACGGACCGTGGCTTGCGCCTGATGCGGTGTTCAGGGCCTGGTGCCAGCGCCGGGAGTGCCGCAGGGTGCAGCACGCACCCCCTGCAGTACAAGAGCTCCGCGGCAGACGGGCGGGCAGGTCGCATGCAAAGCCGCGCGGCGGCTGATCTGAGGGCAGCTCTGTGCTTTGCGCACTTGGAGGCTGCGCCACTGCAAGACCTGGGCGCCAAAGCGATGGCAGCAGCAGCAGCAGCAGCAGCGGCAGCGGCGGCTGAGGTGAAAGCATCAGGGGCGAACAAGGTCCAACGGTGGCATTGCGAGTCGTTTGCAGGTTTGTCAGGCGACGCACCAGCAGCGACAGGTCCTGCGTTCGTGGCAGCGGCCACAGCAGGAAATGGTGGGAAGCAGTGCGAGCTGATCCAGAGGGCAAACCAGCTCGCCCAAGCTCGCACGACGCGTTTGGCACACACGGTACTGCTCGGGTGGCACGCGGCAGCCGCAGCTGGCAAGCGCAGGATAAAGCTGGCGGCTGCGATGTGCAATGCTTCAAGGTGGGCTGCGGGGTCGTTTGTGTAGCCGTAATGCGGCGCGTATTGCGACGGCTCCGAGTGTGTTGCACGACATCTCAGCAACTCAGCACCAATCAGGAAAATTGTGCTGCGAGCTGCACAAGCGCGCGTCCCACGCTCCCCCTGCTCCCCCTGTCCTTTGCAGCTTACGGCACGCCTTCAGAACCTGGCGCAGGGCATGCCCAATGACCGACCCGGCGGCGGCCCAGGCGGCCCTCCACCGGTGGCAGGTCGCCGGCGGTTTCTGCCGCCTGCGCCGGCTGCATGCGTGCCTGGCAGCGTGGCGTGCAGAGGCGCGCGCGGCGGCGCAGCTGAGGGCCGAGCTGGTGCTGCGGGAAGAGCAGCAGCGGGAGCTGGAGCGGTGGCGGTTGATCGAGCTTGAGGTGGGCTGCTTGTCCCGAGCACGGCTGCACTCTCGCGCCCATATGGTCATCGCCCACTTCATCATCATGTGACTGGACACACTGGTGCCGTCGCGATGTGTGTGTCCAGTCACATGATGATGGACGGCACCTGTTGCTTTGAGAAGCGCTCCAGGCAACGCCATGCAGCGAAGCGCATGTTAGCAATGTGTTCCACGCAAGCCTTGTTTATTTCCAGATTCCAGCACCATCTTCACCTGGCACTGACCACTGCAGGAACGTGAGCGCAAGGAGCGGGTGGCAGATCAATTCAGGCGCCTATACCTCCTGCACAGCCGCCTTGTCAACTGGCGCCAGGTGGCGGCGGCCACCTCGGCGGCGCGTCGGCTGCACTGCCCCATGCCGGGCACTGGCGCGGCGACGACGCTGTTGGTCGGCGCCCGTGCTTCTCGCCACACGTCAGGCTTGGCAGCAAAAGCGCAGTCGCCAACTTCTGCGGCAGCTAGCGCGACTCTTCGCCCACAGCAAGCGCACCGGCCCCAGCATCACCGGGAGAGGCAACGGCAGCAGGAGGAGCAGCGGCCGCAGGGAGTGCCGGCGGCAGCGGGGCCGCCAAACAAACGCCCTTGCTCCCAGGCCGGCAGCGACTGCACGGCGGCAACAGCGGGCGCGAAGCAGCGGCTCCTCGCCAGGATCGCGCTGCGCCAGGAAGTGGCAGCTGCATGCTGTGCCGCGCCTCGAAGGCAAGAAGCTGACAGCGTGGGTGGGGAGGCTGTCGCATCGCTCACCGGCGGTGATGGGGTTTGCACCACCAAAGCCACTGCTTCAAGTGCAGGAGCGGTAAACAGCAGGCTTGCGGACAACAACGGATGCAGCAGCGGGCGGAGCAGCGGGCGCAGCAGCGGCGGCGTTAGCTGCACCAGCAGATTGCACAGCAGCTGCGGCAGAGGAGACGGCGGCGGCACCGGTGACGAGCAGGACTCTCTAGTGGCAGCACCCTTGGCAGCACCAGCAGCACCCTCAGCTGCTGCAGCGGGTCAAGTAGCCCTGCCGCAGCCGCAGCCGCAGGGCGATGTAGATGGCTGCGCCAATGCAGCACCGTTTGGTGCAGCGGAAACCAGAGGAAACAGCGGCGCAATGCCCGCGCCCGATGCGCTGCGCTGCGTCGCGGCTGACCCTGGCTCCCCTGGCAAGGCGCCCGTTGTGCAGGTTGCCGCTGACACGGCTGCGATAGGCGACGCCCGGTCACTGCCGGCTGACGAGCCGTCGGGCGAGGCGCCGCCGCCCAAGCAGCAGTCATGTTCTGTGAAGGAGGAGGGCTGCAAGCAGCAGCAGCAGCAGCAGCAGCAGCAGCAGCAGCAGCAGCAGCAGCAGCAGCAGCAGCAGCCAGGCCCCAGATCCAACTGCCGCCGCAAACCCAAAATGTCAGGTCAGTTTACGCTTCCACGGCACACAGCAACACAAGTGCCCGCCCTCTACCAGGCAGCCGAGCCGCAGCTGGAGCCCAGGGCCGCCGTCATCCAGGCGCTGGGCCGCGAGGAGCGCGCCGCTGCAGACGCCGAGCGGCAGCGGCAGCTGCGGCTGCGCGAGCTGCAGGCGCAGCTGGCTGCGGGGCAGGCGGCGCTCGCAGGGGCGCATTACCAGGCGGTGCTCGCGCGGCGGTGGGGCTGGGAGCCGTGGGCTGAGCTCGTGCGGCGTGCACGCAGCCGGAATGCGGGGGCGACGGGATGGCGGGCGCGGCGGTTGGCCGGGCGGGCGCTGGCGGCGTGGAGGGACGCGGTGTTCAGGAGGTGGGCGCTGCTGGGTTGCGGGGACGGGTCCTGCTTTGGCGGAAGCAGCTGCTGAGCATAGCTGGCTGATACAGCAGCCCTTAGTGGGTTGTTGTTGGGTTTCAGTTCGCAAGATGGTGCACCTCCACACACGCGCTTTCGCTGTGCAGGCGCTGGCGGAAAGTTGGTCGTGAGGTGCGGGCGTTTGGCGTCTTGCGCAACGCGCGCGAGCGCGCGCTCCTGGAGCGCTGCCTGCGCGCTGTGTGGGCCTGGGCGGCGGCCGGCGCGCTGCGGCGGCACCACCTGTGCGCGCGGTCGGTGACCGTGCTGCGCGAGGCAGCTGCCGGCGCGAAGCACAGGCGGCGCGAGGCGACTGCAGTGCGCAAGGCGTCGCTGTCCCGGCGCGCCCTGCGGGCGTGGCGATGCTGCGCTGAGCAGTTGGTGAGCTTCGTCTGCGTGGTCCCCGCCCGACTGCCCAGCGCTGCAGGGCCTGCCTATTGGGTGCCATCACAAGCACTTTGCGCACAGTGCGCACCAGCGAGCGGGCAGGGGGCCTCGCAGGCCGCATGCTGACGCAGTGCCTTCCACACTTGAATCCGCGGCCCGCAGGCCAACGAGCGGCTGCTGCAGCAGCTGCGCGCGCAGCACGTCGCGGACGCCCGGCTGGCCCGCGCCCTCGGCGGCAGGGCGCTGTCTGCTTGGCGCGACGCTGCCCGGCTGCAGCGCGCCGCGCGTGCCGAGGCGGCCCGGCACGACGAGGCGTGGGGTAGGGTGAGAGGGTGGCTGTCGGAGGCGCGGCTGCGGCGGGAAGCCGAGCGGGCGGCGGCTGACGGGGCGCCGACCAGCGGGAGAGGCGCGGGCGGCGCGTTGCCGGACTGCTTACTCGTTGGGGCGCCGCCCGCAGGTGGCGGGTGCGCAGGACATGGGATGGAGGGTGAGAACCCCGGGTTGAGCCCTGAGGGCGCATGCAAGGCGCATGGTGCGGCGGCGGGACCCGCGCGGCAGTAACACTAAAATGTAAAAGCAAAGCTGGGAGTGCAGTGCAGCGAGCTACTACCGGGAGGACCGTCCACAATCCTCGTTGTCTGCCCTCACTCACAACCAACAGCAGCGAAAAGCAGCACAGGAAGGGGCAGCAGGCACGCCGGCATACAAGACCCAAGGGACGGGCGCCAAACAGCCGACACAAAACTGCGGTTTTTTGTATACGTTGCTGTTTGCATTTTGGGTGAGGTGCTGCTCAAGGCGGCAAGCCAGCCGCGCGTTTCGCTCGCTGACAGTGGCATAACGCCGCGGCACGGACAGATGGTGACATCATCGGGCGGCGCGCGCCAGCAGTACGTGCGCGCTGCCGCAAAGGGCAGCCGAGCTGGGCTGGGCTTGGCGGGTCAGGGCTTCCCGGGGGCTGGCCTGCTAGCGAGGCTGGCCCGCCGGCTGCCCAGAGCCGGAAAATCGCCCTCCTCCAGCCGGAACGGATCCGCCGCCGGCGCCGCGGGCGCTGCCGCCGCGGCCGGCGACGACGGCGCCGGCGAGCTGCGGCTGCTGGCGGCGCCGCCGGGGGCGGCGGGCGCGGACGCGTCTGAGCGCGCCGTCTGCGGCGCGGGGCCGCCGGGCTGCTGGCCGGACAGAATATCGACCAACGACGGCCCCAATCCGCCCTTGCTGCCGCTACCGCCGCCACGAGCGCTGCTGCTGCCGCTGCCGCCGGCTGCCCGCCGCCGCGCAGCACCGGGAACGCCTGCGGGTCGTCGAGCGTCGGCGACGCGGCGCGCGCCGTCCGCGCGCCATCCCCGGCTCCG